CACACACTAAAAATTAAAACATGATCATCTGTTAAGGATTTCTAATATGAGTTGTTTTCACATATGAATACATTACCAAACAAGTCTACTAAGGAAGGAGAAGGCAACATTTAAAAATAAGGACATATCAGAGAATCTTAAAAACTGTTGCTTTGGAGCTGGAGAGATGGCTCAGCAATTAAGAACACTGGCTGAAGCCGGGCGGTGGTGGCGCACGCCTTTAGTCCCAATACTCGGGAGGCAGAGGCAGGCGGATCTCTGTGAGTTCGAGGTCAGGCAGGACCGATAGCCTCCGAAACAATACAGAGAAACCCTGTCTTGTAAAAAAAAAAAAGAACACTGGCTGTCCGGGCTGGACGGACAGCCTCCAAAACAATACAGAGAAACCCTGTCTCGTAAACCCCCCCCAAAAAAATACTGGCTGTATCTCCAGAGGACCCAGGTTCAATTCCCAGCACCCACAAGGCAGCTCACAACTGTCTGTAACTCCAGTTCTGGAGGATCCAACACCCTCCCACAGACATACATGCCGGCAAAACACTAACACACACGAAATAGAAATAAATATTTTTTTTTTGGTTTTATGAGACAGGGTTTCCCTGTATTGTTTTGGGGCCTGTCGGTCCAGCCTGGCCTCAAACTCACAGAGATCTGCCTGCCTCTGCCTCCCGAGTATTGGGACTAAAGGCGTGCACCACCACCGCCTGGCAGAAATAAATATTTTTTAAAATTAATAAAAAATGGAAATAATTTTTCAAGAAAATCATTGCTTTGATATTTTATATGTATTTATTATTATGTATCTGCACAAGTGCACAGCACACACATGGAGATCAGAGAACAACTTTATGCAGTCAGTTTTCTCCTTCTGCCTTATCTTAAGGTGAGGTCTGAGAATTGATATAAATCAGGCCATCAGGCTTGCATGGTTAGGCAGTAAAGCACCTTTACCCTCTGAAGCCATCTCACTAGCCCATCTTCAGCACGTTCTTAAAGTAAAAGGAAGTAGAAAAATTGCAGAAACATTTTTTTTAATCTAAAGAAGTTAACATTTAAAAAAATAAACATTTTTTCTTTTTTGCAAACATCTCATTTGTTTTTCTCAAAAAAACAAAAGATGCACTTTCATGTCAGCACCTTCATCAAGGAATAGAGGCAATTATATTCCAGTCTGTCCCAAGAAGAGTTGTCTTGTTAAACACTTGAAAGACAGTGCCATTTGCTCTGCCTAAAACTCCCTTGTAGGTGGCACTCTCCCCTCTCCAGCCCAGGAAAATCTCAGCCTTAACATTCACAAAACAATCTTCAGAGGGCTTCAGAGCAGCTGCATTCAGGCAGAGCCAGGGACGTTACTTTAGGCAAAAGAGTAGTGTAAGAGTTGATTTTAAAAATAACTTTTGTTTTGTTAGAAGTTAGGAAAGGGGCCAGGCACTGGTGGCACACACCTTTGATCCCAGCACTCAGGAGGTAGAGGCAGGCAGATCTCCATGAGTTCATGATCTACACAGCAAGTTCCAAGAGAGCCAGCCAGCCACGGCTACACAGAGAAACCCTGTCTGGGGGGGGGGGAGGGGCCGGGGCAAGATATGATAACAGTAACATTTTAGCTCTTGTAAGCAAAAGTATTTTTAAAATTCTATAAATTAACTTAGATGCCCTATAAAGTTCAAGATACTGGTGACTTCCTCTGCCTCTATGAAACTTTCCTGGCAAAATAAAAATAAAAGCCACTTAGATCCAACAATTCATACCTGTTCAGTTCTATATTAATGAAGGAAAATAATCTTACTGACTAGTGTGACTTTAAATCTAAGCAACAACGCAACAATTTATTATCGACAGGCGTTGGTGGTGCACTCCTTTAATCTCAGAACTTGGGAGGCAGAGGCAAGGCAGATCTCTGTGAGTTTGAGGCCAGCCTAGTCTACAGAGTGAGTTCCAGGACAGCCTCCAAAGCAATACAGAGAAACCCTGTCTGGGGGGGGGGGGGATTATTATCAATTTTTTCTTTTCTTTCCTTTTTTTTTTTTGAGACAGGGTCTCATGTTGCCCAAGCTAGACTTAAACCGGCCACACAGACACATTCTACCTACTGATCTACATATCCAGGACCTAATGTCTATCTTTCTCCCAGGTGAGAACATTGCCCAAGGGAGGAAAAAAACATTGCACTTAAAGAGTGTTCAATTTAAAGCCATCTCAAATTCTAGATTGGAAGAACAAAATAAGGGACTTTGTTTTCTCACTGTATTTTCTTTTGAGGGAGGAAGGGAAGACTATTGCCTGGAAAACTGAAAATTCTTCTGAGTGTCCAGTAGCAAATACTCCCGGCTGGAATCTAATTCATTTCCCATTCAGTAGTTAATACTAAAGGGTCGCTAATTGAATAGTCTCAATGTTTTTGTAGGGACAATTTCTAAACAGGGGACAATGCCTCAACTAGCTGCTGAAAAACAAAGGTTAATACAAAACCACATGGTCTGAGTTTTCTTCATTAGTAGTACTTCAATTCTCAAAAGTAAAAGAGGCTGGGCTTTAACTCAGTTGTAGAGTACTTGCCTGGCATGCATAAAGCCCAGGTGAAAGTTCCAGCACCACCACAACCCCCCAATACACATATACACATACACACATACACACACATACATTCTTTCTCTTTCAAGCACATGTCAAAAATGGAGGGGGGTCAGACAGACAGAAGGAATATAATCTATGCATCAGCAAAAAAGTTATTGATTAGCTATATGAGTCTAGCTTGTTATTAAAATGATATACAATTGCTAAACGAAGGGCAATGTCATGTCCCTTTTCTGTACAGAATTAAGAACAAACTGGTAATACTACTTCGTATAGCTGCCAAACTTTTCTTTAGCTTCTTTTCTTACAGTCATGTTAAGTTTCGCAATAGCTTCCACTTACTTTACATCTCCCATGTTCAAAAACAAATTGTGTTTGAGTTCCTCAACCCTTGCTTTAAAATATTGTGATAGCTCTTTAGTTTCTAAGTTGGATGCAAAGAAAGCATGGGGAAATGTTCAATTTCCTAAACTATGAGTCTATTTTATTCACACCATTTAAAATATTAAGGGGGGGGGGCTGGAGAGATGGCTCAGAGGCTAAGAGCACTGACTGCTCTTCCAGAGGTCCTGAGTTCAATTCCCAGCAACCGCATGGTGGCTCACAACCATCTATAATGAGATCTGGTGTCCTCTTCTGGCATGCAGACAGACATGGAGGCAGGATGTTGTATTCATAATAAATAAATAAATATTTAAAAAATATTAAGAGGGCACTGGGAATGTAGCTCAGTTGGTGCAGTGCTTGCCTAGCAAGCAAAAGCCCTGGGTTCAACCCCCCATCACCACATAACCTGATAAACTGGGCATGGGAATGAATGCCTGTAATTTCCACACTTGGAAAGGATCAGAAATTTAAGGTTATGAGTTCAAAGGCCAGTATGGGCTACATGACATGCTGCATAAAACACACACACACACACACACACACACACACACAGCTAAGAATGTAGCCTACATGGTAGAGTGCTTACCTAGCATTCATAAGACCCTGAGTGTTCAGTCCCTAGTACTACATACACCGGACATGGTGACACACACCTACATCCCAGCACTTGGGAGATGGACAAAAGAGGATCAGGAGTTCAAGGTCATCCTCAGTTACCTCAGTTTGCATGAGACCCTATCTCAATAAATAATAACATATACAAGATACAAGATAATTAAGACTAAGCTCAATCATCCATTAAATAACTCTTTTTTTTTTTTTTTTTTGGTTTTTCGAGACAGGGTTTCTTTGTATTGTTTTGGAGGCTGTCCTGGAACTCGCTCTGTAGACTAGGCTGGTCTCGAACTCACAGAGATCTGCCTGCCTCTGCCTCCAGAGTGCTGGGATTAAAGGCGTGCACCACCAATGCCCGGCTCATTAAATAACTCTTAATGAGTGAAAGGGAAAAGCCACATTTAAGGAAACAAACTTTGTTAGTGTTTAGAGATCTATACAGGTTTTAAAGAAATTACACTACTGAAAAAATTTAAGCATAGGAAACAAATGAGTTTGCTGAAAAAAATTTCTGCACATCTCCACAAATCTATACTTCATATGAACCCTGAGAGATATTAAAACACCTTCTGCTAAGCAGAAAACAAAGTTAGGAAAGTAGTAACACGGGAATCTGGGTAGGAGGTGCCTGGGTAGTAAACACCCCAGTGAGAGAACATAACAAGCATATAAGAGCAACATATAAGTCCCTACGGGTCTCCAACTTGGGCCGCCGAAGTCCCAGGCCCACATCCCTGTGTTTTGAAAGAAATGAAACTTGGAAAGGGAATACTGGAAAAAAAATAATAAGAGCAGTGTACTATTTTTCCTCTTCTCAACCCTTATGCCAGCATTTTGGCTGGCTGGTCACCAGTCTGGGTGCCATATTCACTAAAAACACTAAGGAACATCCCGGACCGCCTTCCGACTGAAGACCCAAGCCAAGAGACCTGTATGTCAGCCGCTGTCTCTTCTCCAAATATCCCCCTTACCTCTAGACTCCAGACTACTACCGAAGCGACACCTTCTAGCAACTCAACTCACTCAACACTGTCTTCCTAAACTCATCCACTCAATCTCTCCAAATCCAGACTTTCTGATATCACGCCTTTGCTAATTCTTATGAGTTCAATCGAAACGCCAGGACCCTCGGTTCCAATGCTCCACTTCGACATGCTTTTCAGCCAAACAACGCACGCTTTCAACTGAGTGGGGCTCTCCATGTCACCCAAACCTACCTACTGCCCATTACCTTTGCCTTTTCCAGTGCCAAGCCCTAACCCCACTTTTAGGGAAACCTTGAGTACTTCAACCTAGTTCAGCAGCCCTTCTCTCTCTTCTATTCCAATATCCTTCCACTGAACTTCCACTAGACTTGGCTTCCCTCGGGATTCAACCCCCCCTTTTCCTCGCCACGCCCTGTGCCCCCCGGGGCTACTTACCCCAAGTTCTCCCCACACTTCAGTCCTCTGGCCCCGCCTTCCTCCAAAAGGAAGGAGGCGGGAGAAGAGAAGAGGGCGGTACTCCGCAAGGTAAAGGCGATCTCCCATTAGCGCTCATGGCCGCCAATTGTGGCTTCCTTCTCGCTTATTGGTTGTCTTTACACTAGGCCCCACCCTCTTCCTCAGACAGGCCCGGCCACCGCCTCAGCGCCCCCGTCCAACACAGATTGGGAGGGGAGACCCCGGCCCGGGACGCTGGGACTGGCCAGAGTGGAAAGGGAGACTCCTGTCAGACCACGGACCGGCTAAAGTTAACAGGACTCACCCGCTGGTAGCTCCGGCGCCTCCCGCCCGCCCGCGCTCGGTCCCACAATCTGTCTCCTGCTCCTCCTTTCCCCCCTCAGCGGAGCAGATACTTTCCTCCCGTCCGGCCAGGCGTGTTCACTTCTCGCGAGAAGTGGGGGTGAGGGCGCGATTCGTGGGGGCTGACTTGGAACGGGACCGAGGGGGCGGGACTTGCTGCGAGCGTGGCGTGAGTGGAAGGCTGAGCGAGTGGTGTACACACGGCTCACACGTGTCCGGCTGCAAAATCGGGGGTGATGATGGGGAGGGAGGAAGCGGCCAGGAGATCCCAAGGCGAAGCAAATGAAGGGAATGAGGCTTTCTCTGGCAGCTGTGAAAAGATGACAGACACCCTGGTTAAAGGAGCGTGAAGGGAGTCAAAGCAAACGGAGGGTCTTCAGGGCTCCAAACTGGTGACTAGTTGTATGAAGCAAGTTACACGGGGTTTCAGCGTTCCCAAAAAGGTGACTACTTTGTATTTTCTTCTTTACATTGAAAGTTATCACCACTGGCCGTTACCTCTGTCCCGTGTCTGGTTGTGTGCAGTAGGATGGGGTTGTGAGGGGGATCCCCGTTGGTGAGAAGACGACTTTAAAAAATAAAAATAAAAAAGGTTTTTACACTTGTCTGTTAGCAAGCAGGTTGTGGACTGGGGCGCCTGTGGAGGTCAGAGAACAGGAGATCTCTCCTATTGTGTGTTCAGGGGATTGAATTTAGGTCGTACAGCTAAGACTGGTATGGTGTGAACCATCTCATAGGATTAGAAACTGTATACTTTTTTAAAGTACCGGATACTACTAGTCTTCAGGGTCAGTAGTTTCTTAACGTCAAAGTAGTTTTAAATGCCTTTAGCCGTGAGAGAATTCACTGGAAAAAGACAATCCACCTGCTCAACAGTGTCAGTGCTCTCTTCTACAAATCCAATGCCTAATGAGTGAGATATTTCTCTGAGACTGTACAATGGGCTAGCAATCCCCTTTTACTCATATACTTAAAGAAAAGGCTGAGATGATAGCTTGAGTCGTTGAAGTGCTTGTCCTGCAAGCATAAGACCTAAATTCCATCCCCAGATCCCACGTTAAAACATGGGTGCTCACCAGCCTAGCCTACTTGGCAAGTTCTGGGCCAGTGAGAAATCCTGTGTTAAAGAAATGAACAACAAAAATAAGGGGGACAGCTCTGAGGAACCACAGCAGAAGTTGTCCTCTTTTCTCTTGAACAACCCCATACACATAGACCTATGAACAACACATATACACAAAGCACTGTAGGACTCTTAGTGTAGCTCAGTGGGAAGCCTTAGGTTGGAGTCTGCACAGCATGGCAAAAAAAAAAAAAATTTAAATACGTATTTATTACCCAGCAACTGTTTTTACTAAAACACCATCAGCACATTCTATATGTTTGTATAAAATATAAATATAAATTTTAAATAATTATATATATATATATTAAAGCACACAAAACACCCCCAATTATGTGGAGAAGTATACACAGACCTGGTCCTCCTCTGATAGAATTTTTATTTTAGAGTTAAAGGGAAGATAGGTCATGAATCAATAAGTGCATTTATTTCAGAAAGTGAAAGCCAGGTGGTAATCCACATCTTTAATCCCAGTGCTCGAGAAGCAGAGGCAGGTGGATCTCTGTGAGTTCCAGGCTAACCTGGTCTGCAGATCGAGTTCAAAGCTACACACCCTGCCTCAAAAAAGTAAAATAAAGCAAAGAGTGCTTCAGGGTAATGGCACAGAAAACAACTCTAAAAGGGGAAGGAACTACTGCTAGTTTTAAGAGAAGGCCTCTTGAGAAAGCAATTTTTTTTTTTTTTAATTTTGTGATGGGTCTTACAAGCTGTCCTGGAACTCATTTTCCTGCTTCAGCTTCCTCCTAAGTACTTGTTTTGTCTATGCACCTTGTATGTACATGGTATCTGCTTGTGGAAGCTGCAGTAGAAACCAGGTCCTCTGGAAGAGCAGCCAGTCCTCGTAACTGCTGAGCCATCTCTCCAACCTGAGGAATTGAAGTATTATTATTATTATTTTGTTGTTTTTTTGAGACAGGGTTTTTCTGTGAAGCTTTGGGAGGAGTTGAATTAATTATTAAGAGGCCACTCTAAAATTTTTAGGAGAACATTAAATGTAAAAGCTACATTAAAAAAATTATCATAGCCAGGCAATGGTGATGCATGCCTTTAACCCCAGCACTCCCTTGGGAAGCAGAGGTAGGAGAATCTCTGAATTCGAGACCAGCCAAGTCTACAGAGAGAGTTCCAGGACAACCAAGACAGAAATGCACTGTCTTGAATAATAATAATAATAATAAATTATCACAAGGAAGATGCAACGGATCTCTATGAGCCTGGAACACACATACACACACACACACACACACACACACACACACTTATATGGTTAAATGTTAGTATGAATGAAAACTTAAGAAATGGACAGATTATAAGTAGAACTAACAAGTTAAGGAATTCTATGGTTCCAGACAGATGACTAGTTGTGTTTTCTTCTTTATAGTTCATGGTGGCCATAGCCTCTGCTCAGCATGTGGCTGGAGAAGGGCAGACGAATCAGCTGGTGGTGGACTCCCTTCTCCTTTTGAAATTTTCCCCCGCTTAGTGCTATGCACTGCACCCAGGGCCTTACACTACACCATGGGGCTAAATATCAACACCCAACACCCTCTTTTTTCTTTTTTCTTTTTTTGAGACAGGGTCTGCCTATCTAGGTGATCTAGAATGTGTGCTCCTCATCCCTTGCCTCTGTCCAGAGTGCTAGGGTTACAGGCCTGCCTTGCCAGACCTGGCCCCTTGCCAGGTCTTTGTTTCTCAGCTTCCTGAACTTCCTGTCTGTGATCTTATCTAGCTTCTTAGCATCCTCTGAATGGCAGATAATCCAGGTGACTTTTCCCTAGATAACAAAAGAGGAGTAGGTTTGAAAAATACTATTATGCTTGTAAATTGAGAAATGAGAGACTGTTAGCTTCCAAGCTATTTTCTTCTAATCTTTAGATTAAGGAATGCTGTGGTAGGAACTGAGGTTCATTAGATAAGGAAAGTTGTCATAGCAGAGATGGCATCACAGTTCGGAGGGGAAGGGATTGGACATGTAATAGCTAATGTTTATGAATCCTGTGTTCCATGTCTTACTCTAAATGTTGAATGTGTATTGATTTCACCCCAATTTTATATCTTCAATCTATAGCTCTCCTTTGAACTACAGGTGGATATCTCTAATTGCCTATGTAACAAATCCACTAAGTATTTCACATGTACTATGTCTAAAACAAAATCCCTCCTTTCTCTCCCGTGCATGCCCTTTTCCCAATATTGGTGTAAAACTAAATCACTGTTTTCTTTTTTATTTTTATTAATTATTAGTGTATGTGATGTACATGTGTGATGGCAGGTTTGTACATGCCATTACATGCATGTGACATCAGAGGACATCTAGTCAGTTTTATCCTTCTACCATGTGGGTCTTGGAGCTCAAAATGAAGTCATTAGGCTTGGCAGCAAGCATACTTACTTGCCTAACAAGCCATTTTATTTGCTCTCTTTCTTTGTTTTTGAGACAGAGTCTTGTTTGTTTGCTTGCTTGGTTTTTGTTTTTGTTTGTTTGTTTGTTTGTTTGTTTTTCAAGATTTTTCTGTATAGCGCTGGCTATCCTGGAATTCACTCTATAGAACAGGCTGACTTCTAAATCAGAAACCTTCCTGTCTCTGCCTCCCGAGTACTGGGATTAAAGGAATGTGCCACCAACACCGGCTCAGACAGAATCCCAGGCTAGCCCCAAACTCACTATGTGTCCAAGGAATAGCTGATCCTCCTGTCTATCATTGGAGTGCTGGTGAGAACACTGCCATTCTCTGCATCAGAAGATAGAGTGGGATGAAGTCTTCAAAGACGCTTTCTTTCTAGTACTAAACTCCAGAGTGCCTTGGAACTAACTGATAGCAATCATTCTTACCCTGAGGAAACTTCACTGAATAATAGGTCCAGGAATCCCTGCAGTAGGCTTTGGGCCTCCCAAACCAACCTTGACAACCAAGAACACCTACCTGTCAGGTAGACCCTCATTTTAAAGCAGCCAGTTACTTATTTATGACACTTTCTCATTCCAGAATGTTTTCATTGCCCTAAAGAAAACCCCTAGTAACTCTATTGTCACTAATAGTTACTTCCTATTTAGCTCTACCAACTCCAGGCAACCACTAGTCTACTCTTTGTCTCATTTTACCTTTTAAGCACTTTTTATATATGAATTAAATCTTGTAATATGTGACCTTTTAAAGTTAATTCTCTTGACATAATATTTGAAAGTTCATATGATAATGTGTCTTGGTATTTCATTTACTTAATAATATTCCTAACCAGATGATAGACTTTTAGGTTGCTCCCACTTCTGGCCTATTATGAATGTTGCTTTGAACATTTGAACAACTTACTACACTTGCTTCCAATATCTATGAGTATCGTTGCTGGTTCATATAATAAGTCTGTTTTTGCAGTGGTTTGAATGAGAATGTTCCTCATAGTCTCATATGTTTGAATATCTGGTCCTCAGTTGCTGGAACTATTTGGGAAAAATTAGGAAGTATGGTCTTGTAAGAGGAGATGTGTCCCTGGGGGCAGGCCTTGAGATTTCAGAAGCCCATTCCACTCCCAATTAGCTTTTTCTGCCTGGTACTTGTGAATCAAGATGTAAACTCTCAGCTACTTTCCATCCCCATGCTAATCTGCTTGCTGTCATACTCCCTGCTATAATGGTCTTGGACTAGAACCATGAGGCCCAAATTAAACACTTTCTTTTGTAAGTTGCCTTGGTCATGTTTTTTTGTCACAGCAATAGAAAAGTAACTAAGACAGTATTTTAACTTTAAAAGAAGATATTTATTTATTTATTATGTATATGAGTGTTTTTCGTCCGTGCACTGTGTTTATGTAGTGCCTGAGGAGACCAGAAGAGACTTAGGATCCCCTGGAACTGGAGTTACAGATTGTTGTGAACTACCATGTGGGTGCTGGGAAGAGGCCTCTTAATAGATGAGTCATCTCTCCAACCCCTGTGTTTTGAATTTTTTAGAAACTGCTGAACTATTTTCTAAAGCAATTATACCATTTTGTACTCTACCAGCAATATATGAAGTTCCAATTTCTCCACATCCTCACCAACATTTTTGTTACCCATTTTTCTCATTCTTTCTACCCAAGTGAATGTGACATGCTTTTGGCATTTCCATTTACTATGTACTCTTTTACAATTTACTTTTATTTAGGTGGCACATGCCTTTACTCCCAGAACTTGGGAGGCATTTCCATTTATTATGTACTCTTTTAAGATTTACTTTTATTAGGTGGCACATGCCTTTACTCCCAGCATTTAGGAGGCAGAGGCAGGTGACCTTTGAGTTGGAGGATAGCCTGGTGTATAGAGTGAGTTCCAAGACAGCTAGGGCTACACAGAGAAACCTGTCTTGAAAAAAAAGAAAAGACTTGTTCTTTCTTATGTCTGTGTGAGTAAAGAACACATGTAAGGGTGTCTGCAGAGGCCAGAAGAATATGCCAAGTCCCTTATAGCTGGAGTCAAAGGCACTTGATATGGGTGTTGAAAAACAAACTTGAATCTTTGGAAGAGAAGAAAGCATTCTTAATTACTGAGTGACCTTTCTATCTCCTGTGGACTCTTTTTGGGGGGGTGACTTGGGCCCTTGGTTATCCCAGGATAGCCTTGAACTCTATCTGAAGCAGAGAATGACCTTGAATTCTTGATCCTCCTACATCTACTCTCAAGAGCTAAGATTACAGTCATGTGCTAACACTCCTGACTCTCGTGTTTCTTTTTTGAGACAGGCTATGTTGTCCAGAGTGGCTACAAACTCCTGGGCTCATGGGATCTTGCTTCTTTAGCTTCCCAAGTAGTTAAGACTATAATATACCTAACTACACTAGACACAATAATATACTCTTTTCAATTACCTTCCTAGTTTCCATTCATGGTTGTGATTATTCTCCTGGGTTTTTCATACAGGCTTCCAGTATATAGCCATGGATGATCTCAAATTAATGATCCTACCACCTTAATATCCTGAGTATCTAAATAGCAGCATTGTCTCCTGGCCTCCAAGTATTCATATCCTTCTCACAAAACTACTTTACTCAATCCAAATCATGACTCATTTATGCATCTACTCAAAAATTCAGAGTCTCATCTGAATCATGTAGACATATACTTTTGATCGATGTGGACAGTCTTTGTGAGGCTCATGTGTTGAAAGTTTGGTTCCCAATGCAGCAATGTTGAGGTAGGAAGTCAAAACAAACTACTACTCCTTTTTGTTGTCTACTCCAGGTACTTCGTCATAGCTCCATAAGCATGGCCAACCTAAAGGATGAGAACCTCTGGAATGTGTGTCATACCATGTCACATTTTATTCCCAGCTGTGAACTGTTGGGGACTGCTAGAACCTTGAACAAAATGGAGTCTGTCAACCGTTTCTTGGCCTTCTGACTACGTGACTACGAGCACACATGCCCTTGAGACAAAGGAAAAGGCTAACCATAAAAGTTAAATTTACACAGGGCAGCCCACCCACTTCTTTCACGGAGATTTTCTTAAATGCCTAGAACCAAAAAGTCACTTGGTCTTTGCCAATGGGCTCAGTACTTGCTGAGGCATGCTTTCTACTTCCAGCCAGGTAGTTTTTATATTACTTCACTTCCTGCCTGTATAGAGCCTCAAGTTTAATTGATGGTAAGAAAGTAAGAATTCCTCCGGTCTTTCCTGCCTACACATACAGCCTTGAGTATGCACATAGCTAATGTAGGGGTATGTTCTAGATTCCCAGGAACATCTCAAAACTCTCCAAAACCCCATACAGATACCACACTCCCTAACGTTTCCTTGTAAGCGTTTTAATTAGCTTATCCTTTGCCCCCATTGTTATCTACTGTCACAGAATGCCAACACGTTAACCAGTTGCTTCTTGTAGTTTAGACAAATGTCCCTGCCATGTCCAGCATGGTTCCAGGTCAGCAAGGGAATAAAAAGAAGACACACCCGGGCGGTGGTAGCGCACGCCTTTAATCCCAGCACTCGGGAGGCAGAGGCAGGCGGATCTCTGTGAGTTCGAGGCCAGGCTGGACCGACAGCCTCCAAAACAATACAGAGAAACCCTGTCTCGTAAAACCAAAAAAAAAAAAAAGAAGACACACACACACACACACACTTGGAAAATCTGGAATCCGGTGGGTTGGGTTCTCTGATGAAAGAAGCTCAGCGTGTTAAAATACAGTGGAACAGAGAGGCGTATACAACAGAATGAAGAGTCAGAATATCACATACAGATAAACAAGGAGTCAAGGTTTATGGTATACAGCTGGATCTAGGAGGCAGGTTTAGCTAATCTCCATAGCAATTTCTATAGGGGAGCAGTCTTTAGGTGGTAAGTCTCTGGAGAGGGAGGAATCTATGGTGGACCTTTTCTGCACACATTATCAACATCTACACATGGACCAGGGGAAGTCTTTTCAGTCTTCTGAGCTGGGGTAAGGGAAGGTTTTACCACTTTACCACAGGTCTGAAGCTATGGGATCCTTGACATGACTGTGCCCCGTGTCAGCAACACACATTCACTCAGGACTTCCTCCATTCCCCCACAGTCCATAAAAAACATCTGCTCCTTGCAGGCTGCAAGTCAGATCAAATAAAAATAACCTCTTTTTCAGATTTCACGTGTACTCTTTCTTTGGCATGTTGTTTTTGGATGGGTGGGTACGAAGGGCTGTTGGCATGAATTGGCATGATCCTGAGTTGGTTTTGAAAGAGTTACTTAAGCAGCTGGCATGATTACCAGCTCTGCATTCTTTTGGAGCAACTCTGCCAGCAGAGCCGGGTTCTGCTCTGTTCTAGTTTGTATTACTGTTGCTATCCATGTAGCAAGAAGAAGAAGGTTGTTTTACTGTAATTCAGGATTGCTGTAGTTGTTATTGGAAATCAGGTGTGTTTCTGGTGAGTTGGCATTGCCGCCATTTGCCAAATGCTTCAAAGTTGGAGGTGAGAATCTTAGTGCATTTTTAGCCAAGGGAAACAACATAGAGCTGAGGATAGAAATGTGACAGTTGAAGCTGCTGGTTTGGTGAAAAACTGTTTCAGAGCTCCTTGCAATGAACACTGAAACCCTTAAGGTAGATCTTCTGAGAAGCCACTAGATAGTTCAAACAATGAGTTTGCTATAAACGTGGCTTTGAAGGAACTCTGAGTCCACTCTATCCCTCTCAGGGCTGCCAGGTTGCTGGCTTTCATTGCATCTGCTTCAGGATGTTGGTTTTCAAAGCTCCTACAGAACTTGGGAGGAAGGAAGATGGAAGGAATGTTAAAATGCCTCAAAACTCACTGGTTTGTTTTTTTCTTTTTGTTTTTTGTTTCCCTCCCAGTACAGGAATTCTCTGTGACTTTGGAACCTTTCCTGAAACTTGCTTTGTAGACCAGATTGGCCTCAGATTCACAGAGATCCACCTGCCTCTGCCTCCTGGGTGCTGGGATTAAAGGCGTATGCCACCACTGATCAGCAAACTCACTATTCTTATTAATGTCTTCCATTTTTTAAAATAAACACTCATGGTTGTAAACCTTTGGATATTTTCCAAACTTTCTGCTTTTATTGTTCGTTTTGTTTTCACTTTTGAGATAGGGTCTTATTCCAGACTGGCTTAGAATTTACTATGTAGCTCAGGCTGCCCTGAATGTTTAACAGCTTTCCTGCCCAGGCCTCATGAGTGCTGGAATTATATGTGGGAGCCACCACATTCAACTTAATTTCCAAAATCCTGAAAAAGTTGATCCTTACAGGGCCAGCAAGATTGCTTAGCAGGTAAACTCACTTGCCATACAAGCCTGATGATCTGAGATAGATTCCACAGAACTCACAACCGCCGCCTGTGCACAGTGGTATGCATTCCTTCTGCCAAAAATAATACTTTCACTTTTTAATTTAAAATCTGATCCTGACAATTTTATTACTTCCATAGATTTTTTTAGAGGTTTGTCACAATTTTTTACTAATGCTGCTGCTTCCAATTGTTTTTCTTATTTTTCCCTCCTATTTTTGTGAGTTTTTTTTCATATTTATTCATTGGGACAGGGAAGGGGGTTGTTGCTCAAGTGCCATGGTACATGTGTGGAGATCAGAGAACAACTTTTTAGAGTTAGCTCTCTCTCTCTACCATGTGGGTCTTAGGGATCAAACTCAGGTTTCTTGGTGGCAAGCACTCCACCCACTAAGTCAGAGTTCTCTTGAGGAACAGAACTAATAGATTGAATCTGTAGCTGTGATCCTACTAATCCACCACCACCGACAGAAAGTTCAAGAATCTAATAGTTGCCGGGCGGTGGTGGTGCACGCCTTTAATCCCAGCACTTGGGAGGCAGAGGCAGGCGGATCTCTGTGAGTTCAAGGCGGGGCTGGACCGATAGCCTCCAAAACAATACAGAGAAACCCTGTCTCGAAAAACCAAAAAAAAAAAAAAAAAAAAAAAAAAGAAAAAGAAAAGAAAAGAAAAAAGAAAAAAAGAATCTAATAGTTGTTCAGTCAACAAGGCTGAGTGTCTCAGAATGCCTTGGAATCCTGAAGAAGTAGGTCCTTCCTCAAGAGCAGGATAAACTTGCCATTGAGAGTGAGAGGCAAGTAGGCAAAAAGAAAAGGCTTCTGTCTTAGTTAGGATTTCTATTGCTGTGAAGTGATGGGGGATGTTCTTCTGTACATGTTTCTTTTATTGGTTGATGAATAAAACACTGATTGGCCAATAGAGGTAGGAAGATAGGCAGGGCTAGGAGATAAGGAGAATGTTTGGGCATAGAGGTAGAGAGGCTTCACGAGGAGACATCATGTAGAGACTGGGAAGATAGGATGTGCCAGGCATTCTCTGGTAAGTTAAGGCCGTGTGGAAATACATAAAGTAGTAGCTATGGGTTAATAATTAAGACAGAGATAGCAAATAAGAAGCCCTAGCCATCTGCTAACAGTTTAATAATTACTGTCTCTGTGTGCTTATTTGGTACTGAAGGACGGCATCCCCTGGGATGACAGAAACCTCCATCTTCAGTGAAGTGACACCATGACCACAGCAACTCTTAATAAAGGAAAACATTTAAATGAGGTGGTGGCTTACAGTTCAGAGGTTTAGTCCATTATCATCATGGTGGGAAGCATGGCAGCACTACATCTTTTTTTGTTTGTTTGTTTTGTTTTTTTCGAGGCAGGGTTTCTCTGTGGCTTTGGAGGCTGTCCTGGAACTCGCTTGGTAGTCCAGGCTGGTCTCGAACTCACAGAGATCCACCTGCCTCTGCCTCCCGAGTGCTGGGATTAAAGGCGTGCGCCACCAACGCCTGGCCGGCAGCACTACATCTTAATCAGAAGGCAACAGTAAGTAGACTGGGACACTGATAATGGTTTGAGCATCTATGAGACCTCAAAGCCCACCCCCACAGTGACACACTTCCTCCAACAAGGCCACACCTCCTAAAAGTTCTACTCCCTATGAGATTATGGAGGCAATTGCATATTCAAGCTACCTTCTTCCTAATCCTTTATATAGGCTGCCAGCAGAAGATATGGTCCAGATTAAAGTGGGTCTCCTCACCTCAAAGCACCCAATCAAGAAAAAACCCTCACAGGTGTGCCAGATATTTGGATTTTAGTTAATTCCTGATGTAGTCACAAAGTTGATAATAACCAAAAATGCCCATCATACACCTCACCAAGCCCTCCCATTTGCTTTTAGGCTAAGCCTTTTTTTCCCCCTTTGGGTTTTTTGTAACAGGGTTTCTCTGTGGCTTTGGGGGCTGTCCTGGAACTAGCTCTTGTAGACCAGGCTGGTCTTGAACTCACAAACATCCACCTGCCTCTGCCTCCTGAGTGCTAGGATTAAAGGCATGCACCACTACCACCTGGCTAGGCTAAGTCTTTTAGTATCATCACCAATGTCTGTCTTTCTCAAACACTCATCATCAAAAAATCCTGTAGAGGTTAGCAAACCCTCTACTTGCGGAAGGTATCCTGAATTATGGGATTGTCACCAGTCCTCACGACTGGCATTGCCACTACCCTCACCAAAGAACAGCTCTCAAATCACTTAGCATTTTCAAATGAAACCCTTCCCTCAGACTTCTCTCTGTGGTCCTTGTTGTGGTTCAGTGTGGTTTGAATATTTCACAGAAAAAAAAAATTCATGTCCTAGAATCTTGGTACTGAGGGATGGTGAAAATGGTGGAACCTTTGAGGGGAGGGGCCTAAAAGGAAGGTTATTAGGTCACTAGGAACATCACCTTTGCAAGAGATTTAATGATCACAGAGCCCTAACTAGATAGAACCTGTCTAACCCTGATTTCCCTTCAGGTCACTGCTCTGACCTGACTGTCACTCCCTGAGGACCCTACATTTCATATCTCCTCACTGTTTTCTTTATCTTGCCTCCTGATTCCCCAGTACTCATGAAATGCTATATTTGCTAATGTTCATCTGTCTCCTCACATTAGAATGTAAGCTCATGAAGGCAAGGCGAGGCTCTGTGGTTTTGTTTATATCTACCTGGAATTTTGGCCTCAGAACAGGAAAAACTATGTGGTTACTATCCCAGGTTCTCCTGTAAAGACCACCCCCATATCTTTGTAAATGTATCATTCCTACTTGATCCTAACTAGCAAGTGACATGTATTCATTTTGAAATCTTGCTTGGCATAAATAAATAACTTTAACACTAACTTTGTGAGGCAACACTATTACCACCTTTCTTTTATAGAAGAGAACACTGAGGTCCAGAAAGATTAAAACATTTGCCTGAGATTAGTAACAGCTAGTTACTAGTAGAGCCAAATTTTACCTTTAGGAAAAATATGTGGTACAATATGATGGGGCCCATAAAGACAGATCCTCTTCATCTTGCCTCAAGGTCAGAGAGTTCAAAACTGTCCTTAATAAGTCAAAAGACCTAAAGGTCTAAGGCTTAGTGACTGCAGGATGTTTTGGCCTTGGTAGCAAATGTCTTATCTAACTAACAACATACTTGAGCTTAGGTGTGTTTATTCTTGACCCTGAAGGCCAGATAAAAGGTATGGTTACCAAGTACTTAGAGGATTAAGGGAAGGAAGTCTGTTTGTTCCTTATATATGATAATGGGAGTCCTCTGTCATGCCTCCTTTTTGGTTGGGGTACTTAAGAATGTTGAAGAATAAACTAGAGGCACATTCAGTATTCACTGGATTGTCCTTCTGACTCTATTCTGTGTCTCTGTTTTCTTCTTTGCATCTTTACCTGCCTTTTCTCAATCCACTCTCAGGTACAAACAGGGCAAGTTGACTGGATCTGACTGAAGCCCACAAAAACAGGTTCCCACAACAATATTTTAATAATATTAGGGTAGGGAAGGATCCTAAAACAAAAATAAAAAGAATGTTTATGAACTGGAGATCTAGCTCAGAGCATTGGCCTGGCATTCATATGGACCAGAATTCTCAGAACCACTTCAAAACATCATAAAGGAAAAGATGGAGAGAGGGTGAGTTCTTTACATCAAAAGACCATAGGAGCCAGAAGGTGGTGGCGCACGCCTTTAATTCCAGCACTAGGGAGGCAGAGGCAGGCGGATCTCTATGAGTTCAAGGCCAGCCTGATATACAGAGAGTTCCAGGGCACCCAGTGATACACAGAGAAAACCTGTCTCAAAAACC